GCCATGGTGGCAGGACCGAGGTAGAGATATTTAGGGGTCAAGAGAGGGGGGTAATTGTGGGTGATCAGGTCAGGATGGGATGGTAGTTGTGGGTGATCAGGCCAGCGTGGGGGAGGGGGAGACAATAGGGGGTGAACAAGCTGGTGGGGGTGAGGGGTCAGTTGGGGGCAAGCAGGGCTGCAGGCAGAGTGATTAGGGGCAATCAGGCAGACAAGCAGCTGAGTGGTTAGGAGCCAGCAGTCCCTGCTTGCGAGAAGGATGTTCCAGATTGGAGAGGGTACAGGCTGTGCTGAGGGACATCTTCACCCCCACTCTCCCCCGTGCACGAATTAGTATTTAATATAAAAACTAATAGGAAGGTAGACCTCAAATGTATTGTGTAGTCTGACTAGTATATTGTTGAATTATTGCATTGCCACAGCAATGTGATTTGCTTATAGGAAAACTTAGATTATTTTCTTCCAAATCTAATATATTATACTTGTTTTATTGTAACAGATTATTTATTCAACCTTTTCTATCTTGGGCCTCACAAACCTCAGACAGAGCTGAAATCACATGAACTTTTCTAGGCACCCCTAGCAGAGATAATGCCACCTAATAGACTTGCTGTACTAAGAAGAGGGGACTTCTGTAATAGTATCAAAAATAAAATAATAAAATAAAATAATAAAATAAATAAAATAAAAGAAGCCAGAACCAAAAAGACAAAAACTGCAGGCAGAGAAGAAGCTCTCGGCAGAATCCAAAGGTCAAGTGGGCTCTTTAAAACATGAAGACAGGGAAGAGTTGAGAATGATAGAGTTGAGGAGGGAATAAGAGATTGCATGTAATAAGGCTCAGGAAATGGCCAGAAGCCCTAAGTAAGTAGACGAGGAGAAAGGAATACAACCTCACAGAACCAGGGAAACCCCTGGTCCCTAGACAAGGCAGGCAGGCAGGGAGTTGGCACAAGTCAATCTGCAGAAACAGCTTTGTAGTCTCCTGCATTTTCTTGTCTCCTCTTTAAATGTCTGGAGTTCTTTTAGTTTGGGTTTTAACTTCTAATGTCTAGATCCCTGAACTGTCTCTTGAGCTGCCTATTTTAAATTGGCACAATTCCTGTATAATCATACATATTTGGGGTTTGGGTAAGGGTGAGTTGTTACACACTTCATATAAGGTCTTAAGAAATGACTTCTCTGCTTTCTGGTTTTTTGTGTGTGTGTGTTTTTTTTTGGGGGGGGGGGGGGTTCTTTAATATTAGAGGAAGGATTCTATAGTTTTCCCCAATTTAATATTATAGTAATATTAGAAAAATAAAGTATAATAATAAATCATCATAATTAATTTATATAGAATATTCATTTAAAAGCATCTTTTCTATAACTCGTGAAAATTATTTTTAATAAAAATGTGTATCTGTTATCACAACATCTAGAAAAATCAAGTACTTTAACTTGAAAAATCAAAAGAATTAACACTGAAGGGATTGAGCAAAAAAGAAAAAGAAAGAACTCATGGACATGGACAACAGTGCAGTGACTGCGGTGGGAGGAGGGGACGAGAATGGGTGGAAGGGGAAGAGGGTATATGGGGGATAAATGGAAATGGAAAAAAATAATGATAAAATAAAGGGAGAAAAAAGAGGACAAAAGTGCTTTTATTTTGCTTATTTTCAGTTTTTATCCATTTATACTGCATTATATAATTATAACCCTTTTTATATAATCGCATTCTTTGTGGCTCTTTTAAAAGAATATGTCAGCAATTTTCTATTGGAGTGCCACAAGAATTTCTAAAACATGTAATATTTGACTATATAGTAAGAGGCACTGACCTTTTTCCCTTAGATAGTCAATTTAAAAAATGTCAACAATCAATAGAACAATAGTCATCTGGTGTGAATGAATCAAAATTATACCAATTTTTTTTGTCAGATCAGCAAAAGTAATATATATTTTTGGTTGTACTGCAGAATTTTACAAATTAGTATTTTTGCCATGAGATAAAAAAGGTTGAAGATGGATGGAATATGCTAACAACTTATTGCAATACAAGTTATCCTATATAATAAAAACCTAATATGCAAATTGTCCCCTCAACCACTTGCTATGATGTGCTCTGACCATCAGGGGGTGGTGCAAAACTTGGTTGGCGTCAGTGATGCAGTGCTGACAGCAGATGGCAGTGGAGGCACTGTCAGCCCTAGTGGGCCCCAACGAGAGCAGGACTGTGGTGGGATGGTCGAGCAGGTAAGCGGGTGGTGCCAGGTCAAGGCGGGTCTGAGCAGGGCCCAATCGCCCCACCCATCATCCCTCAGACAGTGACCAGTGGCAGCATTGTGGGGCGGGGCCACCGCCTTGCTCCCAGTCACTAAGGGAGCCAGGCGGGGGCCCAATAACTCAGGCAGAGGGGAACACATGAGGGTCTGGGGACCCAGGTGCTGCTCACAGCCCAGAGGTCAGCTGGGACCTGCCCTTCCACACCAGACACTTGCACTTTGATTGCCCGGCGAGGCTTAGGGACCACACCCATGCCCAAGTTTTGTGCACCAAGCCTCTAGTGTATATAATAAGGCTTGATAAATGCAACTTTGCCTTATAAATTTTTGAAGGGTACAATAGGATGAAAAACTGAAAATCAGAAAAATAGTTTTCATGCTCACCAAATTTATAATTTATAAAACTTTAACTATGTAACTTTATAAAACTATATATAATTACTAGAGGCTCAGTGCACAAATTCATGCAAGTGGGATTGGGCTGAAACTGGCTCTCGGACATCCCCCAAAGGGTCCCAGATTGCAAGAGGGCACAGGCCAGGCCGAGGAACACCACTAGTACACAGTTGGGGCTGGGGAGGGACGCAGGAGGTTGGCCAGCCAGGGAGGGACCACAGGAGGGCTCCAGGGTGTCTGGAACATCTCCCTCAGTCCTAACTGCAAACTAACTTACCAGCAGCAAACTAACTTACCAATCAGAGCATCTGCCCCTTTATGGTCAGAACACAGCATAGCAACTAGTCAACCAGTCGACTATCTGCCCCCTGGTGGTCAGTGCATGTCAAAAGTGAATTATAATGATTTATTATAATACTTTATTTTTCTAATATTACTGTAATACCAAATTGGTTGACCAGTCAACCGTCTGCCCCTAGTTGTCAGGGCACATCATAGCGAGTGGTTGAGCGGCTTTAGCATATCATTATCATATTACTCTTTGATTGGTTGAATGGCCAACCAGAAAACCAGACACTTAGCATATTAGGCTTTTATTATATAGGATTATATAGGATATGAAATTTATGTAACTAGAGTTGAGCAGAATAGAGATATTTGTTTTGTCAGTTTCAGTGACCAAGTAGCAAAACTTCTAAATTCAGCATTTTAAGAGGATTCAAATGTATACAGCACATTTTGAGTTTTTTTGTTTATACTCTCACCTTGCTCCAAGAAGGATTTAAGGCAGATAAAATCCCATTTAAATTTACCTATCAGCTATAAAAGCAATTATCAATCAGTATACATTATTGCCCATAGGTCTTATTCATCTAGTTCTGCTGAAGAGGACACCTCAAAACCAAAGAAACAAAAATATCAGAAGAAAGAAAAGAAAAAAGAAAAAAAGAATAAATCAAAAAAGGGGAAACATCACAAAAAAGAAAAAAAGAAGAGAAAAAAGGAAAAGCATTCTTCCCCCCCTACTATTGCTGAAATCTCCAAAAAGTAACAGACTATGGCTTACACCATTAACTTTAAAATTTTGATTTTGAAAATGATTTCACCTTCCTTGGAATTTGCTATATAATTATGCTTTGCAATAAATCACTGGCTTGTTCATATGGACATTTTTTTCCACATATGGGACCATTATCCTCTGGCAATATATTTTTAATATACTATGATTTAAAAGTATAAATCAGTCTTATTACTTGATAGCTGTGCCCCCAATATGGACATCAGTTTTCATATCCGTGTCTCTATGTTTGACTAGTATTTTACTTTATAAGTTGATTGTACTACAGTCAACACTGGTAATCTACCTGGCAGTTAATAAGTATTGCTGAATCAACTGTCTGCCTTCCAGTGATGCAGTGAGATAAGGGATAATGCTTTGCTCTTGACACTGATAAATTTAATAGCTTTTTATATCCTATGATAATGTATGAAGATAGTAATATTCTTCACTACTGGTTTTTAATCTCTGGGTTTTTTTGGGGTTTTTTTGGATGTCATAGAAGATGAAGCTGATTTATAGACCTTGACTAGAACTTTTTAAATGAATGGAAGAGGATAATGAAAATATTTATAACTAAGTTTCATTATGTTACAACATGCAGCATTTCTAGTACCTGCCTCCTTATTTTTGTAACAATTAAAATATTTCTTCCTGTTTAAAAACACAAGCCTAGTTCAGCCTATTAGTCTCATAGAGATAATGTTGTGTTGGGCAGGATTTTTAGAATAGACTCCTAGGTTGTTTTACAAATGTGCCATATTGGCATGTCTGAGTGATACCTCAAGAACAGAACTTTTATTTAGGAGATGACAGCAAAATCTTCATTTTAACTGATTTTTATTGTTTCCAATATGTAAATTTTATGAAACTTGTTTCTATGTGGAAAATTTTTATAAATGTGAACATATATATTTATTTGTCTAAAATAATTTGTAGTTTTGAAGCAGGTTTCACACTGAATTTATGCTTTCATAAATGACTAGTTTGGGGTGTTTCTTTCTTTTACTTCAGTCATAAACCCCAGTCAGTGATAAAAATTTAGGATTAAGAATTTTATTCTGTACTTTTTAAAATTTAAGAACCAGGGAGTTGCATCATGAAAGTCTTTTTATATTGGGAATTTTATATGGGTAAGCATTTTCAAACAATATTAGTCAATATGTTTCTTACATTTGAACTGTCACCATGATCAGTGTTAGTGACTTTGCTTAACATTTGGGAAACCCTTATGCCCAATAACTTAATTTTATTGTAGCAGCGTCAGGAGTCACACCATTCCCAATGCACAGCACCAAAAGACTGCAGGTACCTCATTGCAGTGCAGTTATGAGTTTTAAAATTGGTAACCCACAGACAAGGCTACAGGTGAACTCATCATGGGGAAATCAGGTAAGTACACGTAACCTCACTGGCTGGAGAGGTGTACTGATTCTTTCTTCACCATACACCCCTACCTGGCATGACCTCAGTAAGCTGGGAGCCTCACAACTCCTGTTAACATATGCTTACCATGCTCAGCTTCTAGGGATGCAGCAGCCACATCCCTGTCCTATCGCATTTCAGCCACTGACAGCTTTTCCATACCTAATTAGTCATATGGCCATGAAAAGAAATTATCTTGTTTAAATTAAGCTCAGTCAGTTGTTTGGAGAGAAACACAGAGTTAGGTTTTTAAGGGCTTATTTTGCTTTGACTGTACTTTTATGTATTTTTGAAAACTGTATTTTCTGAAAATATAGTTCTTTGGCTATCAAAATGACCAACTAAGTACAAAAATCTTTTTTTTAAATGATTGGAAAGATCCGTATGCAAAAGGATGGTCTCATCCTCTCCAGTGTGTAATGTGATTAAATAAGATAATTTTAGTGTATAGAGTTAATTTAGTTATTTGTAACTTTCTTTCTGTTAATTGTAAAGATTATAATTTGGCTCATTAAATTTGTTTCTGCGTGGTGACATGATTAATAATGATTTAGAGACTTATATAAAATTTAGCTCTCATTAACTCTAGTACGCAAATTAAAAGAATTTAATAGTTGGTAATTATTTTCCCCCAGAAACAATCTTGGAATTATTCTTAAGTAAATTTTCTATCATATGAGAATAGTTTATGAAACACCTCCGCTGAATTAAATAAATTTATTTTTACTAAAGTAATTTTCTTCTAACGTCATATTATTGTTATTGGTCTTCGATGCAAATCTCAGTAGTATATTTTAGGGGAAGAAATAGTGAAATTTCTTCTCTGGCAGTATTAGCAGGCTGGAAAGTCAATTTTATAGTAAAAAAAAATCCAAAAAGTCCTAGACTTTCGTAACTACCTATGTGACCTTCTGCAGAGTCATTTTAATTTCTCTTGGCCTTGGCGTTTTTCATCTATAAAACATTGTAACAAATTATCTCTAAGATCCCTTCCAGTCCTTAAAGTATGAGTATTGATATTTTAGTAAAATCCAACTGATACTGTTCATTTTAGAAATTATTACAAATGAGCAAGTAGCAGTCTGCAATATTAAAGGTCAAATTTATTAATACTACTGTTAAGCACACTCAACTTCTATAAGCAGAAAATTGATATTTGGTTCACTTCCTCATCATTCACTGCACCATTTTTGCCAGATGCAGACAGAGTTTTTGTTTATGCAAACAGATTACCTTATCAGTAATCACATTATCTGAACATTTTGAGGCTACTGCTTTTGGGGTGATAGACCCACTCCCCACACAATTCCCTCTTTTCTCTGGATCATCTGTTGAATAAAATCTCTCTGAGGACTCCCTAGTGCTTCACATTTAATACTCACTGTACGTATCTATTCTTACCACTCTCAAATTATAGAGCCCAATGTCACCTTCAGTTAAACTAGGTTGAAGAGTTGTTAATAGTGTTCATAAAAATGCCATCGTGGCCTTTCTTCAACAAACATTAATTGCATGCCTAGCACGGCAAACACTCTGCTAAGCACTGGGGATACACAGATTAAAAAGATTCATTTGCTTCCCTGAAGACATTCGTCATTCTGTTGGTAGGAGAAACATCACTTTAGTGCAGTAATTGACTGGAACGTCGGTTAGAGAAGCACACAGGGGTACTCCACCTGCTCTGGAGAAGTTGGAAGAGGCTCCTTAGGGAAAGCAGTGCTTGAGGTGCATTTTGATTGAGGATGAGGGTGGCGGGTATGGTAGTTCCTGACCAGGGGGCACTGTGAACAAAGACCACAATGGAGGCTGGAGGGTCTATGTGTCAGAATTAACAAGCAATATGGGAGGCAGGAAGAGGTAAGATTTCAGATTCCCATTCTAGGTTCTTAGGAACAAAAGGAGGAGGTCTTAGGTTCCATGTTTAGAGAGTTTGGACTCAAATGGGTAAGCAGTGAGGCACAATGACAGAATTTTAAGGAAAGAAATGACTTACTGGGGTTTGGTTTGATTTGTAATTCCTCCAGTTTTAAAAGATGAAGTTGCTCTCATTAGAAGGCCACATAAGAATGATTACAATCTTTATGTCCTATTATTTGTACTCTTCTAGTCCCGCTTTTCTAAGATCTGGTTATTACCGAAAATCATACAGTGACTTGTCTCCTAAAAACACATAAAGTTACAGTGTTCTTTATCAGACCTGTCCCCAGAATTACATGCATATGTACGTACTATGAAATGTATTTTGTTTTTAATTTTATTTTAGATTATTTTTGACTGACAAATTCTGTGCTATGTTAGTATTTGTTATGTCCAAATAAATCATTTAAAATGTACTTTTCGATGTACCAGCTGTGCTATAATTTGATAAGCCTTCTTGCTTTTTTTTTTTTAAAAAATCAATAACTTATAGATGTGACATTGTTTCACAAAACCATACATGTTTCAAGTGTACAACACAACAAAACATCATCACGCTGCAACGAATGGCCTCCACCCCAAACAAAGTCTCTTTCCGTTCCCATTCTCCCCCTTTGCCCACCTCCAGATACCTCCAACCTTTCCCTCTGGCCATCACCACACTGTTGTCGGTAAGGCTTCTTGCCTTTAATATTTTGTCTCAATCTGTGAAGCACAACTGCTTCAAATTGTCAGAGACAACCTGTTGATTCACTAGATGAGCCTGTGATGCCCCCTCTGGTTGCCTGGCTAGACAGGGAGTGCTTTGGGAACTCTCTCTGGTCCTAGTGCTGGGATTCAAGCCTCTTGGGCACTGGCATTCAAGAACAGGTTTCTTAGGCCTGCATAACACTAATCCCACTTGTGAAGCTCAGGGTCTTCTGACCTCATCTGTCTTCTCCCAACTCCTCTGAAAATATGCAGTGCTCCAGACTGGGATGTCTCCCCCAGAGCACACCCATGAGGCACCCAGCCATGCCCAGCCCGTGCCTGTCCCACAGGCCAGTTGTCTGGGGACCATGAGCATTTTGCTGACCCTGAGTCTTAAGTTTCCTACTTTCATTTATGGCCTGTGTCCTTCCCCTTGAGCAGAAAAGTAGCACTGTACCAGTGCCTTAACTAAACTTAATCTACGTTTATTTTCACCAGAGGCAACATCTAATTAGTAATATAATTATTAACGTGTGTATAGCTGATTTTCTGGGTTTTTTTTTTTTTTAAATCAAGCTAGATAAAAGAACAAGAAGTATCACAAATGCTATACATGCTTTCACAAAAATAAATGAAAATTCTTGGCTTTTTTGACCACATGAGAATTTTTATAATGTAGTGTTTTAACTTCCAAACTTCCCATGCACTCTTTTAAGCAATCTTAGTATCAAACATTGACTGCCCTAACCAGTTTGGCTCAGTGGATAGAGCATCGGCCTGCAGACTAAAGGGTTCCAGGTTCAATTCCAATCAAGGGCATGTACCTTGGTTGTGGGCACATCCTCAGTAGGGGGTGTGCAGGAGGCAGCTGATTGATGTTTCTCTCTCGTCCATTTTTCTAACTCTATCCCTCTCCCTTCTTCTCTGTAAAAAAATCAATACAATATTTAAAAAAATAAAAAATAAAAAACATTGACCAAACTGCTTTTTGGAACAAAAAATGTAACGGGCAGTAGGTGTTACATCTGGAATTGTGATGTCAGCATAACCACATGTTGCTATTTAAATTTAAATTAACTAAAAAAAAAGTGTGCTCTGTTGCATTGGTCACATTTCAAGTGCTCAGTAGCCACATTGTGTAGAGTGGCTACCTTGCCACACCATGCACATATAGACAGGACATTCACATCTCAGAAACTCCCACTTGCTGAGAAGATCCCTCTCCCTTGTTCTTGGTAGAAATTTTGGCCACCTAATGATCAAAAGTTCTACCTCTGAGAGCAATAAGGCATTCGTTTTTTCCTATCAGAACACAGAAGCTGTATTCACCACTTTATGCAACAGAGAGATGTGCGTGTTCAGCAGAGCCAGCTTAAAATAATTCCTTTTTCCTATTGAATTCTATTACAAAACCAATAGAAATCACACGTAAGGAAAAAAAATTTTGAAGACAACGATAATTTACAGGAACTGTAGTTTTATTTCTAGCTAAGTGGCATTCGGTAGATCCAGGGACTCTCTCAGAGAAGGATTTTTGTCATGGCTATCCTTCAGTATGCAGAAAACATGTACTATATAGATTATACATTGTAATATATTTTGTTTTTGAATGTTAGCTTTTATAAAGGCAATAAATGCATAGTGAGTGTGCCAGCAAGTCTTCTAAAAAAAGGCGTGGGTTGACTTTTAAGAGACTTAAGAGCATTCCACCTCTAGTTTATAAGAAAATTCTCCCAAAATCTATCCATCTGTACCATCTCTTAGAAAAAAAAATGACTGCCTCTAGGTACCTAAATTTTGAAATGCTGCTACTATTTCTTGTTCCTCACTGAGACAGGCTTGCTTATCTGTGTTATTGATAAATTATTTAACTTTGCCTAAAGTACTAGCATAATCTATACTAATAAAAGGGTAATGTGCTAATTAGACCAGATAGACTGGACGTCTTCTGGAGGTCCTTCCAGATAAAACCACAGTGGCCAAGAGCCAGCAGCGTGGGAGGGGCAGTGCGTGGGGAGAAGGCCTAAGACGTTAGTAGGACATCCCCTGAGAGCTCCTGGACTGTGAGAGGTGGCAGGCCGGGCTGAGGACCCCTCTCCCCCAGTGCATGAATTTTCATGCACTGGGCCTCTAGTTTTGTAGATGTACACTTACATTAGCAAATAAAAGTAAACTTATATACATGAAAATCTGTCAAAACCTTAGTGGGTGTTCAATAAAAAGATTAATAACAAGTGCAGCTATGTTTAGCTCTGTGAGTGGCGAATACTATTACGAAGTATTTAAAATGCACTTTATTTTTACTGTTCCATCTCTCCAGTAAGCTTTTATCACACAGGATTTTTAATAATACACGATGTTGATTTGTGTTGTATCCATCGTTTTTTCCTCAATTATATCCTCAGCTTCATAGATTGTTTCATTTGTTGAATTTGATGCTGCGATTGAATTAGGGGTTTTGATTTTCTTCTTTGAGTTGCCTGCAAATACACAAAACAAAATGAAATAATTCATGTGAAATTATGTCATGAAACTTGACTTTGCAACATTTTTGCTTAACAACCTACATTTTGTAGCAATATTGAAAATGCAATGTC